CCCCCGCGTCCCGGACAGGCAGTGGCGGCGCTCGGCGGTGACTTTATTTGCGGGCTGCACGCGCAGCGCGAGTACAAGGCTTGCGGAGCCCACAGCGGGCGCGGGGCTTGGCGGGCTAGGAGCCCTCGGCGTCGGTGTTGTCGCTGCCCGTGGTGTTGCCCGCGTCCTCCTCGCCCCGACGCCAGCCGTTCTGCGCCTTCCGCAGCGCGCGCTTCCTGGAAAGGCCGGCAGTGGGCGGGGGCGCGCGCGCGGGCCGCGCCCCCAGCCCGCACCCCTGTCACCCGCACCTGCGGTAGTTCTCGAAGCTCTCCTTGAGCCGCCGCCGCTCCTTCTCCGGAGGCTCGCCGCTGCCCGGGCCCGCGTCCTGCAAAGGAGAGGCCCGCAAGTGGACGCCCTGCCCTTCCCCGGCCTCGACCACTGCGCCTGGGGCCGCCCTTCGGCCTGAGTGGCCGGGCACCCTCTGCCCGGGACCCCGCTACTGGGCAGCCGGCTGCGGCGCGCATCTGTCCCGGTAAGAAAGACGCCCAGCCCCCCGAACCCCCACACCTGTGGCTCTGCCCCAGAAAGCGGGGGACTCTGCGCTCCGAACACTGCCCGCGGCCTCCAAGCAGAGCCGTGGGGGCCCCACGGGGCCAGGGGTCCAGAGGGAGTCACTACCAGCATGGGTCAGCCGCTGAGGCCGGGTGAGGGGCCCCCAGGCAGCCTTACCTTCTGCAGAGCCACGAGGGGCTGCTCTGGGCTCTCACGGCCTGCCAGGCTGCCTGAAACGAGAGCTGTGCCCGTGGGTCCTGCCCACTGCTGCCCCCTGCCCGGCGGCGCACCTCCTGGGCCAGCTGCGGGGCCTCCGGCCTGCTCCCCTCTGTCCACCCAGGGGCACCAGCGTGGCCCTTGCTGCCTCCTGCCCTCTCCTCCTGGGCTGGCAAAAGGATCCTGGTCCCAGGCCTGGCCAGGTTGAGCCAAGCCCCTCACAGGGGCTCCTGGGGGGGGAGCAGCACAATGGAGGCCCCAGGAAGACCAGTCCTCAGTACCTTGGTGGAAGGTGCTGGCAGCTGGCCGCACGCAGACCTGGTGTCCATACAGACCTGCCCTCCAGCTTCCCTTGGTGACACCGGTGGCTTCTTGGGTGCCCTTTTGGGCTCAGCAGCCTCAAGTTCTCGTGTTTGGGGCTGGGGCAGGTGGCCAGACCCTCACTTCTGCATCTCCTGCCACTTCTTCCCCTTTTGCCTCTGCTTAGAGGCTGAGGTCGGCCTGGCTGCAGAAGTCTGTCTAGTTTCCTATGTAACCTTCCAGGGGTCCCTCCTCCTTCCACTGGGCCTCCCCCTCCCCTCGCCCCAGCCCTTCAGAGAAGACCTTTCTCCAGCCCCAGGCTACCTCCACACACACTGACCCTGTGCTGATCAGTTCCCTACGCCCTGCCTCCAGGACGAATAACTCAGTTGTAAAATGAGCAAAGGAGGGGCCTGCCTGCCGGTCCCCACAGGTTCACGTCCAGTTTTTTTCCTCGCTGTCTGGTGTCTTCTTTTGTGGTACTGGGGTTTGAACTCAGAGCCTTACAACTGCTAACAAGGTGCTGTTAGCTCACTGTTGTCCGTGGCAGCTTGAATGGCTATATTGGGGTTACAGGCATGAACCACCAAGCCCAACTACAATGCCCAGCCTGTCCGATGTCCTTGCTCTGCCCTGTGATGCAGAGGGCAAACCTCTCACCTTTGTCTGACAGCTGGGTGTCCTCCAGGTCCTGAGGCAGAGAGAGCTTCAAAGACAAGACAGGCCAGGGGTTCGGCCGTTCTTAAGCTGCCCCTGGCCCTCTAGGCAGGACCTGAGCTGTGCAGTCTCCTGGCTCTCAGCTGGGCACAGCCATCACTATCAAAGCTCTGCAGGGCCATGAAGCTCCTGCCAGAAGCAACTATCCTTGCCTTAGTTTACCCCAAGCAATCAGGCCAGTGCTCTTCTTCCAACCAGCCCAGAGCAGGACGGGGCGGGGGGGGAAGAAAGCAAGTGTGGGGTGTGGTCCAGGGGAGGCCAACCCCCCTGGGGGGGCCACACGCACCTCCTGGGAGTTCCGGGGTGAGCTGTCTTCCAGGTCAGAGCTCTGTGGCCACAGGAAAGGGAGCCGATCAGCAGGCTGTGGGGTCCTGCGTCTGGGCCGGGCCGGCCTGGGTATGGGGGGCCCTCAGTCCTGCCCTCTAGAGAGTCCTGCCATATGTCAGCCACACTAGGACCCCCGTACACACTGCCTGTCCTCCTCGACACCTGTACCCCACCAGGCCCCCTGAAGGCCACCACTTGACCACATTTGCTGCTTGGGCCTTGAGCTGTGTCTGCAGCCCTCACTCCACCATGCAGAGGGGTCAGGAAGATCCACGGTCTTGCCGAGGCCACCAGTGGGACATTGGCCACGCAGGCAGGAACCGTGGGCGTCCCATCACTACGTGGTTCCTCTCGGGGATGTGCTGGCCTCTACATCCCACCGAATGCCCTCAAGCCCCAGGCAGGGCCATTTCCCCCAGGCCTCCCACACCCAAGGCCCACCAGGACAAGTGAGTCCAGCTGCTGCTGCTTGAGCCTGCCCTCAGCGGCCAACAGCCGGCCCTCACACTGGAACAGCTGCAGCTGGAGCTCATCCGCCTTCTCGCCCAGCTCCCGGACACGCTTGCGCAGCTGGTCCTTCTCCTGCAGGCTCTGGGCACACTGCGCGTGCAGCTCCTCGCGGCCGGCCATGGCCTGTAGGGACGGCACAGGGCTCTCCTCAGAGGCACCCTCCCCCTCTCCTGGGCTCCTGGATCAACTTCCCCAGCACAGCCTCGGCCCAGCAGAGGCCCTAGGGAACCGAGCAGCCCAGGGGCTGCCAGCGCTGGCCCATGCAGCCTGTCTTGGCTCCCTTTGGTTCTGCTCAGATCTAACTGGCTTTGGAGGGATTGGCAAAGTCATGAAGGCTCATGATGGATGTGGACAGTTTTGTTTTGTTTTGTTTTATTGGTTGTGGGGTCTGAACTGGGCCTGGGCGCTGTCCCTCAGCTCTTCAGCTCAAGGCGAGTGCTCCACCACTTGAGCCACAGAGCCATTTCCAGTTTTTTCTGCTTATGTGGTGCAGGGCCTTATGCACGCAAGACAAGCACTCTACCACTGAGCCAACTTCCCAGCCCAGATTTTTTTTTTTAAGCACACACAAAATCTCCATGAACCATGAACACTCAGGATGGTCACTGGGGACCTGGGAGACCTGCAGAGTCTTCCTGTGGACAGTCAGTAAAGGTTTACACCCCACCTATGCATGCATTTAATGAAGTTTGGATGCTGGGGGTATCAAGAACATGATTGTTGATGGCTTTTTAGGAGTGTAAAGTGGCTCATGCCTGTAATCCTACTACTACTCAGGAGGCTGTCTGAGCATCACAGGTTGAAGCCAGCCCAGGCAAGAAAGTCTTTCAGATTTAAAAAGTTTTTAGGGCTGGAAAGGTGGCTCGGTGGTAGAGTGCTTGCCTTGCACGTATGAGGTCCTGGGTTCAATTCCTCAGCACCACATAAGCAAAAAGAAAAAAGCCAGAAGTGGCGCTGTGGCTCAAGTGGTAGAGCGCTAGCCTTGAGCTGAATTACTGAGGGACAGCGCCCAGGCCCAGAGTTCAGGCCCCACGACCGGACCCCCCAAAAAAAAGTTGTTTTATTTTTTGCTTATGTGGTACTGAGGAATCGAACCCAGGGCCTCAGGCATGCAAGGCAAGCGCTCTACCACTGAGCCACCTTCCCAGCCCCCCCCAAAGTTTTTAATTAATCTATTTTTTGTTTATGTGGTACTGAGGAATTGAACCTT